ACCCCCTTTGTTTGCATGACTGAATGGAAACCAAAATTCCCTCTATCGTGTCTGTAACTATTTCCTTTATAACACTCACCGTTGCTATCTTATTTCTTTCAGATTAGCAGGCGCCTAAAAATCCTCTCGTTTTCGCTTTTTTCAGTTCCTCGACCATAAATGTGTAAACCAGCCGCTACTCGGTTACTCAGTAATGAGTTCAACTAATTACAGGCGATTATCAGCGGCAACTGTTGAGCGTTTGACGGAACATGAATATCTGAATTGCGTTTCCACTTCAGTTCATGAGGAAATCGCTGCTACGTTGGAATTGGTCATCAAGCGCTTGTCGTCTATGTTTGATTGGAGTTCCACCGATATTGTTTCTCCCTCATTCGCACCACAGTTGTTCCTTGCTCTATGTGAAATGTGTGGCCGATTGATCAGACTACTCACACCAGATCAAATTAGAGCTGCCTTGTCCAACGATAGTGTTCCCGAGGATGGGTTCCTGGTTCGATGGCTTCGTCGTTTAAGTGCAACAGAAATACAAAAACATATGCCCGAGGCACTTTTCGGTTTGCTAGTGCACGGACTGGCCCTAATGATCGGTGTATCCCAATGCTCAAATACTCCGGTTGAATCTGCTGAGGAGCAAGTGTATTCTGATCACACAGTTTCTTCCGATAAAAGTGAAAGGTTAGTGTAACGCCTCTTGATGGACCTCTCGTTGATCAAATCCTTTGCAGTTGTGATCAGCGAAAGGCAATCACACTTTGGATTCATGAGCTTCATTTCCACTTGTAATTCAGATTGGGAATGTCACGGGAGTTCACATAATGCTTTTGTAGGAAACGCGTAGATTGATTCTTTTGTTCTTATACTGTTTAAATTATCTGACAAGACGAGGCTCTAATATGCGCACCACAATGTGACAATCTTTTGAGCGACCCACCTACAGTGTTTTGATATGCTACCATTTCTTTCTGAAGGGTGATTATGTGCGTATTTCACACAAGTTTGAATCCAAATGATGTGCCAGACAAATCGTAGTGCAATAATCTTTATAAAAGCGAGAAAATCCCTTAATCTGCTAGTGGGTTCGATGCTGCCCAGGCCAATATTGGTTAATTTTCTTAAAGAAATCACAACCAGAGCTTTTGACTAGCTGTCTTCCTAGATCTGAAAGCGGCTTTCGACTCGGCCGACCGCTCTAAACTCTGGTGCTGCCTTTTTTGAAGAGTGTTCCCTAGAAGTTAATTTCAATATATCAATCCCTGTATGCTAATAATAGAAGTCCAGTCCGGGCTTACGGCACTTTCACCCGAGTTCACCACAGAAAGTGGTGTTCTTCAGGGTTGCCGCCTCTCTTCCTTTTCTATTCAACTTGGTTATAGATTTGATGATGGAAACAGCCCTATCCTCGTGCTAGGATAGCTGTGTCGATTTACTCCCAGGTCTCAGACTGTCTGATTCAGAGTATGCAGACGACATTGTGCTGCTAAGCGAAGATGCAGGTAAGTTGCAACCTTTTTCGGACGGCTTGAACGCCAGTGTAATCGTGTTCGGTATGCGTTTTGCACCTTCGAAGTACAAAATGTTACTACTAGACTCGGTTGGTCCATCACCCAGGCTCACTCTAACTGGGGAAGTAATGGAGGAAGTGGACAAGTTTTGCTATCTGGGCAGCTATATCTCACCCGACGGACGCATCACAAATGAAGTGTCGACGCGTATACAAAAGGCTTGATTGGTATTTGCCAACTTGAGACATTTGTGGCGCCGTCGCGACATCCGGTTGTCTGTGAAGGCTCGAGTGTATGCTGCAGCAGTTCGGCCAATCCTGCTCCACGGTGCCGAGACTTGACCACTACGGGAACAGTATAATAATAGATTGTCGGTGTTCAAACACCACTGTCTACCTCGCATTGCACGAATCTGGTGGGGTAACGGGACGAGCAATGCTGAGGTTAGGCTTAAATTCTAAGGTAATCGCGGTCGTCACTGGAGCAAGTGGTCGACCTCCATAGATTACGTTGGTTGGGGCATGTGTTACGCATGTCACCAGATACGGTGCCACGGCGAGCGATGTTCATCGAGGCAGGTGACGTTTGGAAAAAGATTTAGGGTGGTGAAACTAAGACCTGGTATGAGGATATGAAAACCCTGACCAGGAGACTGGCTTACATCGGTCCCATGAGACTGCCTGCTCGGGGACCCCGAGATCATAGTCACCGATAGTCATAGACACTGGGCGATATGTCTGGGTGTCGCAAACAGTGGCGCTCAGGCACCTACTCATTATTCTTGTAACTTCAGTCTATGTAAATGCGCTACCTTCCGCTTGAATCCGCTCAACATTCGAATTATCATTCTGCTGTTTTGTCCAAACGGGCAACCAAAACGGGCGCACGAATGTGCATGGTTATTGGCTGTAAGAACAGAACAGAACAGAACAGAACAGAACAGGCTTATCTCTGAGCGAGCGACACATACAACTTCAGTTACCTTGATCCCCAGAAGTACAATAGGTGGATTTTTTTGATTGTTTACAATTTTTACCCAAGAAACATCGAACCTAGATAGCGATCAGCGTCCCATTTTCAGTGTTATCAGGTTGTTAAGACCTAGTTGTGAACATGTACAGACCAATGGTCGAACAACCTTCTACACATATGCTTGACTGGTAGGTTGATTGATTGTATTCATGGTCAAAAGTGAACAACCAGAAAACTTCAAGGACATCGCCACAAGTACGAATTTTTATTTGCTCAATTTGTCTTGTGGTTACCAATTAGTTTGTATTCGTGTTTCCATCATGCGGCTTCGGTTGATTAGAATGGGTTCTGTTAGCGACAGACACAACACATAAGCTCAGCAGAAATGCCGATGACAATAAGTCGTCGTCGTTTCGAGCACGCGCGAGGTTGAACCTAAGTTCGCTTGTCTCGCGCGTCCGTTCACAAGAGATAGCCCCCTGCACACTGAAGCCCAAGTATATTAAACCACAGACGGTGCATGCACGTGAAGCTATACAGGAACTAACAATAAAAAAGAATCACTGATAGCGTCAATCAATGAATAATGGTCACACTAATTCTGTTTTCATTAACCATTAACAACTTGTTGTGAGTAGAGTATGTGCTAAGTACGCATAACCAGCTTGATCCATAATGAAACCCGATCTTCCACGTAGATTAGAAGTGTTTTCAACCGTCTATAAGTTATATATATATTTCACAGTTGTCTCAGGACAGACTGTGTGCCAAGTAAATCATGGTATGAGAATCTTTATAAGAAAAACGTTCCATGAGTTGCGTGTGGGCGGAATACTGCCAGGTTATCCAGGCCAACGTAGGTGAATTTTATTGAGGAATCCACAACCGGAGCCTTCGGTTAGCTAAAGCGTGACCCGCAAGGCAGCGGGGTGTTGTGTGAAAACAGCAATCTATTGAGAGCCTGTGTCCAGTTCATACGCACATCGGACGGGGTCAAACGTCCGAGGTGCTCAATACACCTCAATGCCCAATCGAGCCGATGACCACTACCACAACCCGGAAGGTGTGCGTGGTTCTTACACCTCCTCCTAGTAGGTTTGGAATCAGGGTTTTTGGCCAACTCCCCTAGGTGAACTACCAATGGTCCACCAACCCGGTTATAGCCCCGGATATTGGCTTTTCGTCCTCTCAATTTGGTGGGAAACACCTCCGCCACGAGAAGGCAGTGAGTAGGGCTTCCTCAGCAAAGGCTGTTTGAGACGCTTGGTCGTATGGGAGCATTTCGTGAGGCGCAACGGAAGGGTGAGCAGCCGCATGATGATCTATGTTTGTTTTGTCCTTTATTTCGGAAACCAGGAGTGGAGACAGAGAACATTTTACAATCTCGGCACCCATATCTCACCTTCCGGGCGCACAACAGATTAAGTCTCTGTACGCATACATAATACTCGATTGGAATTAGCCAACTTCAGACATCTCTGGTGCCATCGCATCACCCGACCGTCTGTGAATGGTCTGTATGGTCTGTATGCTGTCAAAGTGCGGTCAGAAATTGGTATACGCCACAGAGAAAGCAATTACGGAAACAGGATACCAATATTTTTTTATTAAACACATTTTTGTGTGATGAATAACAGACAGGATGGACCCCAGAGTCACGAAGACCTGCTGTTTAGTGATGAAAACAGGTAACCCAAGCCCCGGGACTAGGAGTGGCGAACCATACAAGGCTCCAACTGAATTGTATAATTCTGGTGTGGAAACCGGCAATGCTGAGCTAAGGCGCGTAGTCTTGAGTAACCGCCGTCGCCCAACAGAGCAAGTGGTCGACCGCCATAGATTACACTGTTTGGGGCATGTGTTCCATGCGTGGCAAAGCAAATTGCCATGGCGCTCGATGTTTGTCGAAACAGGTGATGGGTGAACAAAGTAAAGACTGGTCAAACTAAGACCTGGCATGAGGATATGAAAACCCTAACCAAGATTTTCGGTCACATAGATCGCGTCAGACTCTCCGGATGAGGACATCGGGATCAGCCTGACTGATAGTTAGAGAGACACTGATTGATATCGCTAAATGTCGTACCCAGTAGCACTCGTGCATCTACTCAATGTCCTTGCAAACTTTGTCCTCATGAATTCTCTATTTCAAATCGATACTAATTCTACTAATTCTAATCTTCCTTTACTCCTTCATCGAAATGGACAGATAACAGACCGCAACCTAAAGGCCGCATGAAGATGAATGCTTAAACGTTTGTAAAAACTGAACTGAACTGGACACATAGTACGAAAGAAGAGACACAGATCAAACTAACCTGGCGCGGAGAGTTTGGATCGCTTTTGTGAACTGGGTCAAATGAACGGACCAATTTTGATTTTCGTGGTATTGTTGCATCATAGATGTCAAGGTTCGCAACACCTGCGCGATTGTGGCTCCTAGCTGTCGCTGAGTTTCCGGTCGGGACAGCTCGTCTACTAGGATGTTCCGGTGATCGCGAATCAATACAGAGAAGAGATTGAGCAGAGAATCGGCACCGCTTGAACATTGGACAGCCAGTAGTAAACGAGCCAACCGGTTGCTAGACTCGATTGAGTTATCTTTGGATTGCGAGTGCAAAAGAGTATGGAGCAGGCTGGTATGGAACATGGGCTGCTGTCGGCTGGAGGAATTAACCCAACGAGCTTCCAAACTGTGAATAAAATGCAAAGGTTGTGTAGCAAATCAGATGCCTTTTTACCGCATTCTGATGGAAAATGTTGCGCAGAAGAAAGTAGGGAATCTTTTGTCAGTCGCTCTTATATTCTACCCGCGAATGCGAGTTCACAGAATACGATGCTGTAATGACCGACGAGGTGCACTAGGAAGTTGTTTCGTCCTTGATGGGTTTTCATAAAAAGGTGTGTATCGTTTTTATGTCCCAACCTGGGACTCAAAAGCAAATGTATACAACCATACACCCAAAATGATGACCGAGGGTAGTTTAGCTCAAGGGTTTCAGCTGCTAACTCGAAGATTCGAGACCCACCCGGAACAAAAAGATCACATGCAATGCTGGCGATTCCCGCCAAGGGCCAAACAACTGTCCAGTGCTCCTTGTAGGTTATCACACTATTCAATCGTATGGGAAATTATTATTATTATTATTATCAGCACCGCGAGCATTGCACTTCACATCAACCAAGTTTCAGATTACACAAGTACAGCATAGTGCAAGAATCTTTAAGGAATGGAAATCTACACGTGAGTATTACGCGGGCGCAATATTGTCAAGCTGTCCGAGTAGAACAGGGTAAAAAGTGTAATTTACAACCGGGACCTCTGGTGAGTCACTCCGGGTGAGTTGATTTTTATTTGGGACATTGTTTGGGGCATGTGTTGCGCATGCCGCGAAATAAACTGCCACGGTGCGCGATGTTTGCCGAGACAGGCTATGAGTGAAAGAAAGCACAGAGCGATGGAACTAAGACCTGACATGAGGGTATGAAACCCTTAACCAGGAGACTTGGTTATACGGGTTGCGTTTGGCTTCCTGGATAGAGACCTCGGGATCATGGAAATCAATGGTTAGAGAAACTGAATAATGCCGCTGACGGTCATAAACAGAGGAGCTCACGCATTTTCTCAATTTCTTTAGAAACTCAATCTTCATGAATCGTTTCTTTTCACTCTGACACCGATTTTAACATCCCAATTTTTTCCCCCCTTCATCTAGATAGGCAGACAACAACCCAAACCGGCGAATGATAGTTATTTAAACTGAAACTAAACTGAACATCTACGCATCCACAGTGCTAACCGCTCCATACTTTCATTTTCGTGATCAAGTTTATACGCGGTTTCCTAGAAGGATTACAATGACGGCTTTTTCGTTCACACAGATCATCTAGTTATCTATGCCTGATCAACGTGGTCAGTGTCCCCAGATGTCAGTTCTCGGCCCTCTCACTTCAATGAAAATCCTTACCACCAGAAACTTGCGTATGTATATGGTCACCTTTTTCATGTACTACAACCGCTCGCTTTGGCGGAAAAAGTAACCGAACACAGAAGCGATCATCTGTCAAACGATTCGTTTGATCCAACAACTGGGTTGAAGGAGAATTGTTTTGTTAAACACTACAATTCGTCTATTTCGAAGCGCTGTGAGATTACTTGTGGTGAAGTGAAACCAAGTCAATCTGCGCCAAAATCAATACGCGGTCCGTAGTGGCTTTTGGAATAAAAACGAATCAGTACAGCGTTTCCTGAAAACCATTCGCATTACTTGACTCTGTTTATCTCATATATATATATATATATATATATATATATAAC